CATGTGGATCAATGCTCATACTTTTAGTCACTGATTTGCCTGATTCAAAATCGATTATATACATGACTGTGTATGTCGGCTCGATATAGCTGGAATATTAATGAACGTTGAGTTATTCATTCACTTGACACATGTGTAAGTGACGCCATACCGAAGCATGCAGACATGATACTGTACACGAAATACAAAACCATCGTGGACCACATGGAACTGCAGCTATTTGTGGAAAACCGGTAAACGACTAACAAGTACCATGATGCATTGCACATTTGGCTAATGGTCCACCGTACTGACATACACAGAACCTGAGCCACTCCCTACACAGATGACATTTACAACCTGGGAAAGTACATTGCCCTGTTAACGGTGGCATATACAATTCTGTCTGGAGATAAATCACATTACTTCACTTGTATATTGAAAGCAGGTTGCAAACGCATGTTGTCTATTGCTTATTGTGTTTGTAGATGTATATGATAATATAACGTTGTCAATAAATGAAAGCTTTCCAAACTCATAAGAAGTCTCTGCCAAAACCAAAGTCGAGTGTACGTTTTTGATTATATCATAAGCATGAGTTTATGAATCATTATAATAAAGTGATGAAAGGTGTTCGCGAAAAGGCGAGCGTGTCCTGCTCAACCGGTGGCACCCGTCACAAACACATGCAAAGGCAAGTCTATTGTTTACCAGAAAAACAACAACAGGGAAATGTCCCCTACATGACTACATGACTACTAGAACCTTTCGCTGTGCAGAGCTAGCAAATGAAGTTGTAAACGTCTGAGGCTTCCGTCACTGGCTTTCCTCCCATACTAAGCTGATCTGCCATAATATAAGAGAAACACTGTTTAAAGCGGCATAAAACCAATAATTCTAAATTCACTCACTAACTGACTCTGAAATATGTTAGTACCTATTCTATTCAATCTAGCATGTGGTAATATGTAGTGTACTGTTTATTGTCTCCCAAACACCAAATGTGCTCACCGATTTACTTACCAAGCCTCTGGTTATTGCCTTTCGTTCTACAGCCATTGTCTGGCCCAATCTAACAAATATTACAACATTATGAAAACATTTGTGTTGAGTTACAGTAATAATGAAGATGCATTATAATGATGGCATTGTGGTGCTACAATCTACCTGCGCCGTGTGATTTTCCCATGTGGTCCACAGACAGTTGTTTCTATGTAATGTTATCAGCTGGCTACAATAACGGCATGTGGAGAAACCTACCGTTGATGCCAAAGCTTCGAACGCCACAATACAGCAACTCGGCTCTAAAGTCAGACACCCGCTCCCCATGGTGTTATGATTGATTGGAGAGCCGCGGAGAATGGCACAGGTAGTGTAAACCTTGATACCTAGCCATAATAGCTTCATGATGTTAGTTTACAAGACCATGATTATTCGACACAAGGCCACCATCTGGTCACATAAGGCCTTAATGCCAGAAATACCACGGTCGATTCAGAAATACTACAGACAACATGATAACAAAGATTGTTATGCTACTTTGTGCAGATGTAACCACAGCTTGTTATTCTTGTGGGAAACATCCATATACTTGTTACCAAAGTTATGAGGTGGTGGATGAGTACAGTGTTTAAGCTTTGTTTATTCTCGCCAAGATCCGGGTTCGAATCCTAACATGGGTGCGATATGTGGAATCCACTGTTGGTGTCCCCAGCGTGATATGTTAAAAGAGTCAAGCATGTTTTAGTTATTCAATTAGATACTGTTTGCTAACAAGACCGTTTAATTAGTAATGCCCCCTCAAACTACTCTCCACTCTCAACGCTGCTAACCGCCTCCGTGGTCTTGAGGTAGAGCGTCCGCCCGGAGAGCGGAAGGTCCGGGGTTCGATCCCCGGCCGCGTCATACCAAAAGACGTTAAAAGATGGTACTTGTTGTTACCCTGTCTGGCGCTCGGCATTAAGGGGCTAAAACAAGGACTGGTCGGCTCGGAGTCAGTATACTGTGTCTGAGTGGGGTATTCATGTTAAACTGCGGCATGGTATCTCAGTGAGCTAGCACTATAAATCGGCATCAGTCCGGACTAGTACAAGCAGCCACACAAACACACACACGTACATGCACGTCGCTATATAAGTGCAATAATCTTGGACGCGACGTTAAACCCAATTTCACCTCACCTCAACGCTGCTCGTTACTGAATCCTCTCGGAGTTGAACATATCAGACCCATTTTGTAATACAAATTTAGGATTGAAGAGTAATTGGAGTTGTTTCAGATAATTCCTTATTTTACTTCGTAATCAAATAATGTTGTCGCACATTGTGTTGTTTCGCTATTCACTGGAAAGGTTACTTCAACATAGGCGATACTCTGTCATTTTTACTTCCTTTAGCGATAGAGTCGTCTATGATTTGTGTTTGTGTTAATTTGTAGGATTGAATTATCTGGCATCGGATTGATCTCTATTTCTATCAAATTTGCTTTTGGCATTTGACAAATGCGTCAGTTAAATCTCATGCTCATGATAATAGTATTACTACGACATTTTTAAACACGCTTTAAAGCAAATGCGGCGTTGCTTAATATGATAGCACTGTTGACAATTTGATGAAGTTTATAAAAATATAACGAGAACATGTATATAAAACAAAACAACTGATGTCAAGATATTTTTCCTTATGACATCATACATATTTTTTTTTCTATGTCTTACGTACACACCAAAGATTCGTAACGTTTCTGAAAGATGAGCTATCTTATGAGAAATAGATTGTCTACATTTGCTTTCAACAAACGCAGTTATGAAACATTATCTTAAATTGGTTGGGGGACCAGCAAATTGACGATACTGTGGCATGCGAAGTAATCGTTGTGTTGGCCTGTACTCCAACGTAATGGAAGCACAACATGAAACAATTTACAGCTTCTATAGTTCTTTGTTTGAGAGAACTAAATGAGTAGAAAGGCCCATTTGCATCTGTTTTTTTATGGAACGGGAAATGGTAAGAGTACCTTCATGACGCGCTATACGTCATGCCGTGTTATACATTTATCAATTGAGATCAGTTTGTAGGTCCTTACTTCATCAGAAGCTTCAATGGATTCGTGACAAGCTAAATATAGAACGGTATGTCCATCGTTGAGAATATCGTCGTCCATTAGATTTCTTGGCAGTGACAGAAAGGCCATGCGTGTGAGGCGACCAGTAGGTCAGAATCTATTTCGCAAACAACAAAAGAAACAAGACAGCAAAGAACTGAGCAACTAATTACATGAACATCTTCATTTATCACGTCCGTTGTTATAATAAATTGGATTGATATTTTTTGTCCCTAGATTTTTTTGTCTTATACCTTGCACTATCTCTGGGGTATTAACGTTCAAGACAATCAGTTAGAACACTTCCTGTGTCGACGACTGCATATCCCGGTTATAACGAAGTAAATCACAAATTTTGACGTGACAAAAGTCTGCCAAAGAAAGCCCAACGGCATTCTGTATGATATGATGCGTCATAAAGACAGCGAACACATCACTGTAATATGTCAAGTTCAAACATCGGTTTTACATTAGATTTTTAACGAAAACGTAAGAAGCGAGATTTATTTAGAGCATATGTCCTTCGTTGAAATGTAAGTGAAATCGGTGAGTATATTTTTACTCCGCTTTCAGCAATATTCTCAGTGGTTCAATCCACTGAGCCCTACCTAAAGATGTTAAACGATATGGTACTTTGCTGTTAACCAGTATTGTGCTCGGCATTAAGGGGATAAAGCAAGGACTGGGTGTCTGGGAGTTGGTAAAATGTGCCTGTGTTAGTAATCAATGTCAACTGCGAGACGGTTTCTCAATGGGTAACACTATAAAACTGGCATAAGTCTGGACTAGTAGAACCAGCCACACAAATACGTCCATACCAGTCACTATATCAATGAAGTAATCGTGAACGCGACTTTAAACTCAATTCCACCACGCCTTTGGCAATATCCCAGCATTATCACTACATGGGAAACCTAAAGCAGGATTTCCACATCGTACACATGACTGGAACAGAACTCGCGTTTTCGGCTTCACAAGCTATAGCGTTAACCACTGGGCACATCAAGTTGTGCCAATAGCATCGGCATAGTCAGTTTGCATGGAGTGTAAGACTACAGCTTGCCAAATGTGAACCTATTTACCAAATAATTTTTGATGTGACGCACAACATATTAGTCTAAAAACTCCAAACCCGACAAGCAAGTGAGTGAACGTGAATAACGGTAAATAAAGGCAATTTCGTATTATCGGCAGGCAAATTATTTTACAACTATGTTGTAAATAGAGGGGACGGATGATTTATGACGTGGTGATATACAATGTGAATGACAGCAACCCATTCTTCCTGAATCAGTATCGGTTCACCTGTCATCTTCACAGACACACTATGAGGTTAGTGTGACAGGTTGATAGCAAAGGTCCACTCCCACCAGTTACAAGCACCTACATAACACTGGTCGTGACTCATGCTCTTCTCATAGCGTATGGCGTTACAGGTAGAAATACTGCGATGATAATAAGACGTAAAATTCATGTGATAGGTCGACGTTAACAAGGAAAATCATATGATTTCTCCACCCAGCCGTCTCTTAATTCAAGTCAAAATCTCTCAGCCGCTAACACTGTCATTTTTCGCAACTTTAATTGGCTCATTAAAATCAAGTGGGCATGCTTGGAGCTTCTATACCCATACAACGTTGCACACAACAGCCTGTGTTCGCATTCATGGCTATTCTTGACACTCAAACATAGTATTTGTATCAAGGCTTCGCTGAAGCAGCTTGATAAGCCTCACTGATACTTCTGCGCGGATAAACTCGAATTATATCATGTAAGTCTATTCAGTAATAGGTAAGGTACAGAAAAGGTCCTCATGCTGACCTCTGATGTTCATTGGTGGGCAGACTGATTCACCTAGCGATGCTCTACACAGGAGCAATAGTTTATGCTTGGTTTAATTAGGAAACGTCTTTTTGCAGGCAAGCAGACGCTATGACGGTGGAGAGAACGCCGGCTTGTGAGATCCTGTAAGATCACCCATACAGGTGGCTCGCTCGGAAACAGAAAACATTCAAAGTAAGTCACACAAACCATCACAAATCTGTTATCTAATGGCGTGATTCAATTGTTATAATGAGTTGTGTGCATTTCGTTACTTGTTAGGTCTTGAGAAGTGTCAAAAGTGGTTGTTTCAGTGAGCTATAATTGTTAATGTAGATGCTTAGAGTAAGTAAACTCCGTTTTTGTTTGATGCTTTTACTGTGTTCCATACGTGGAACATTTGTTTTAATTTAAACGAAATTTAATCGCTGTGAACGTTTGTTTGTGATGGTGCCAAAGGTAGGTTCACCTTTGCGAACACATGGTAACGTTGCTATTTGAAAGTGATTCATAAGGACATGCTCATGGTAGTCGGAATCTACAACGAACTTTGCTTTTAGTTGGGCTTTTGTCGCTTTTATTGTAAAATGTTGCAGATGCATTTGCCATAATACTGTTGTGATATTTATTTATCATTTATCACATACAGTTCATGATATATCGCTGGGATGACACATGATGCATTATTTCAGTTAAGGTACACACTGCCTTTTCGCACAGCAATTCAACTGGTAATGATAACCAAGTGCTTTTTAGAACATGCTTGTCCATTCGCCTCCACACCATATCAATGGCTCTTAATGTTTCTGAAACTATGATCGAGATGCTGAAGGTTCTTTAACACGTGTGCTTATGGTGCTCTCGATTACAATAGAGCCGCTCCCCTTGTCACATGCACATGGTACAACGCTCGAGCTGTTCACATGAATCCTCTCGCTATCCATCACCCCTGAAGTGGGTGGGATGGTACTGTGCGTTAAAGATGCTTGGACGCCTTTCTCCGCTGAAGTCGTGCGAGTACACATGACATCTCCCATGCTAGCCCCTCGATCCCGACAGAATATCACTAGTAATCTATAATCATGTAAGAAATACTTTCTGACGGAAATTAATGGCCTGGTCTCATGTGATGAAATACAAAATGTATTTAATCTTGCATATCAACTTACTTCTTTGCGCAGTGAATAATCTGAATTTGACACTCGATACATTGAGTTTGTTGTATTGATTATGTTCTAGCGATAGTTTTTGGCGTTTCGAAATGGAAAAATGAATTAATGAATTAATAAGAGATGTCTCATTAAAAGAGGCACTCGATAGTTTGTGCCTGTTGTATCGATTGTGATCTGGCTGTACTGTGTTTTGACGTTTCAAAAAATGAATTAATGAATTAATTAGAGATGTCTTATTTAAAAGGACATGCAAAGGTGGTAACGAGACGAAGCAATATATACAGATTTGTTCTTTTGATGGAGGGGGCACGGGTGGCCCAGTCGTCTAAGGCGCCGCGATTCGCTGTACAGAGTTGCGTCCCTTGGACACGCCAGAAACCTATGATTGTGGGTTCGAATACCGGTTTGCCCCGATTATGTTTCTAGGTTTGTCAGCACCATACCCGTGCTCGTGGGTTTCACCGAGGTGGTAAACGTCTGAGACCTGCATCACTTCGGGCTTTCCTCCCACATTAAGCTGACACGCCGTGATATAACTGGAATACTGTTAAAAGCGGCGTTAAACCCAACTCACTCACTCTTTTGATGGTGTATGCAATCAATGTATGTCCAAGTTTGATTGTGTTATTGTCTATTTTTATAATTAATCAAATTTGAGGATATCGATGTGATCAATGAATGTTCAAGTTGATTATATTTATTTGTTACATATGTATTCATTATCGAATTTAGAAACGACTTTCAAATGCAAAATGCATGCTTGTGTGTTTTAAACAGTCGTTGAGCACTATAAGGACGTTAACCGTTTTGCTTTAACAAGCTGTTCAGTTGCATCGGTGGGTCTGAAATTCATGTAGACAAAAGTTGTCACCAATATGATTCGTACATGTAGTTAGTAATAACCAAAAATATATTATTGTCAGTGACATTTAGTCATCTGTACTATGCCCTATCAATAATGAGTTGTGACCTGTAGAGTTACATATTATTTTTGCTATTCCGCATATCAAAGGAACCATACTACTCCTACCCTTATCGGATCACTTTAGGTTCCTTTTATCGTTCAGATCGATATGTTTTCTAGGCTGTTGATGTCAATTACAGCCCTAGAGTGTCACGATTGCCATTTGCAGTTGGTTCTACCGGCACGGATATTGACAGCTTACCTAAGATGTATCACGATGTAACGTTTCACAGATTGCCTACAATCCATTACAGAGTGCCGTTGTTTACATCATTTGATTGCGGATTTCTTCTTAGTCTGTCACCAAATTTGTTATTGAGGATGAATTATGCGTGTTTCAAGTGCAAGGGAGGCATATCTTCAGAATTAGAAGGAGCGTGTTCGTCATAATCAGAATGAGTGTGTAAATATTACCTGGATATGCGGGGCGGTGGGGTAGCCTAGTGGTTAAAGCGTTCACGCCGAAGACCCGGGTTCGATTCCCGACATGGGTACAATGTGTGAAGCCCATTTCTGGTGTCCTCCGCCGTGTTATTGCTGGAATAGTGCTTAAAGCGGCGTAAAACCAAACTGGGATCCGGGATTTGAAACCACAGTCATAGGTTTCTGGCATGCCCAGGGGATGCATATCTGCACAGCAAATTGCGGCGCCTTAGATGATGGGGCCTCCCGTGCCCACAGTTAAAGAAGACACACATAGTCTCAAATTTCATGACACACATTAAAAACATTTTAAAATACTTTTCATTATACTCGTTCTCAAAAATAAAACTGTTTAACCTTGCCTCTTGGAATTACCATCACCGAAATTGAAAGCTGAAGTTTTTATGTGTGCCGTTAGGGTAATTAATGTATCAATTCACTTTGCATCGTAGATTAAAGTTCTGGATATATCATCATACGTAAGTACGAAGTGATATTTTTAATTTTCTTTTGCCTGTACGCATAAATGTCAGGAGGATATTTCAGTTTTTAGCTTACAGACCCCCCTGCCTTCCTCAATCGGCACTCTCGTAGACCAAGAATGTAACTAATGGACTTGGTTCCAAGCCAAAGTTATTGGCAACTAATAGGAGAAATGGGAGAAGGGCTATAATTTTTAGATAAACGTAGCGTGTCTTAGTTAATTTTCATCATTGCTTCTTGAAGACAAACTGAAGTTTCAAAGCATACTAACGTTATGTTCTGGTCATGGGTACCCATGTTTTGGTGCTTAAATTTTTCAATTATCTCGACGCCTCGATGACATGAACCCATTCGTGGAGCGATCTTTGGCACAACGTAGAACGCCAATATTTATGTTCCTGTCTCCATATATGCGTGAAGCTGGAAACAAATAACCACTTCACACATCAATTATCATCGTTACCTGTCTTGTCCTTATAATCTTTGCAGAAAGTGAGGATAAGTGCATCTCGGTCCCATTTTTCAATCCGTGTGTTATTTTTCTCATTTTCATGCATGTGCTTGTGTCTAATTAACTTCAAAATATGAACTGCAGATGGTTAACATGCGCCTGCACACTCGCTGAACCTAGCTTTCAAATACAGCCTGAAAGCATTCAACAGAAGTGCGTCATTCACAAACTTTAAAACATCGAAACTTATAGTTTCTTTACTCAAGTTGTCAATCAATATTCAGCACGTTATTTCTCCTAGTCATTGAAAACATATCAAGTAGTACATATCAAGCATGAATGAATGAATGAATGAATGAATTTCTTTATTTCCTCCAGAAGTTACATCCGAAGATTTACAAAATCTCTGATATTCTCAGAGCAAATGCATCGTGCTAGTATTTATATAGATGGGGACAATATTAACTCATAAAATACATTATACATCAATATATATATATATATATATACACACACACACATACACACACATATATTTTCGTCTTTAACTATGGACACAAGTGAGCACTATTACGATACAACAGATTAAATTGGGGTTAATCTAATACATTTCTGAAATTTAAGACATTTTCACAGAATATTAATGATATGTTTTCCCATGTAGACTGGTTCATAATTCCAGATTATAAGTTTACTGACCCCAGAATAGTGCGAGCGTATCATTCTCTTCCAGAAGTTCAATTTGGACATAACTTTCGATATCCAGTTTGTCAATGAGGGTCGATCATTTATAAAATATTCACAGTGTAGAAGTACATGTCTGTCATAATCATAGGTATGTTTAGAACATTCACGTGGTGTAATGGGTCGGGAAGCTATCTTAAAGGAATAGTGGATGCAATACCCAAGATGAGGATACGTTAGTGCTAGTTTCCATTATACATGTAGTTTAAGTTTAGAGTGAACTGACTCTCAGCAAGTAATGTATTTCACTTTCAGTGTCATTTTTGTTGCGATACACACAAAACATGACATGAATCACAATGTGAGTGACCCTCTTACCGAGTAGATATATATGTAGGTAACACCTAAAGGTTGATTTTACGACAACTGAAAACTTGAACAGAAAGATAATACGGTGTGAAATGAACAATATGTGTCATAATAGCAACCTGGTTAGTACGGTCGGTAACTAAAGGAATATTTACAAATATATAAGAGACATCACTCTGTTAAAGTATTCGATAGTTCAGTGGATTAAATAAGTAACGTTCTGTTCAGAATTTTCACTGTGGTTCATTTGCAATGTACCCAAAGGTCTATATCAAGGGCATCGTAACTTCTGTCTGCATGTATATATCCCGTACTGTCTATTACAGTGGTGTCACCAATGCACTGATCATGAGCTGCATCAGTAGTACCCTAAGTACAGATACACTACGTGAAATCCATGCCTTTGTGGTTTTGGGGTAGCCTAGTGGTTAAAGCGTTGGTTCATCACGCCGAAGGCCTCAGTTATATCTCATCAAATGGCGACGTCGTATTTATGTTAATCTTTTTTCTATTTGTTGAACCTTCCAGGTATTTACAACAGATTGTCAGCCATGTAACTTATAACATATTGTTAGTGGACGAAACATCCTTGAAACACCAGGAAGAGGAGGACCAAATTTGTTAAAATAATTTGTTATTGCTTTACTTTGTATGCATTTATTCACCATTGTACACCTTGTTGGGTGGTCCGGTCGTTAAAACGTTCACTCTACAGGCAAGAGAACCTGGTTCGATACCAAACACGGGTACATTACGAATGAATATCTCGTCAAGTGGCCCCCGCCATGATTGTGTTGGAATAATTCTGCAAGCGGCGAAAATCCACTCACGCACAAGATGAAACTACGAGGCGGACTTTTTTAGTCCTAAAAAATTACATTATAGACAAACATTGATAGGAATGTCTACATGTATATAAAGGGGCACATTTTTTAACAAAATGTAAACATTCCGTACGATTTGAAAAGGTTTAACTGTATACAAAATCATACGCTTGATCAAATTAGGTTCCTACAAAAGGATTTATTACTTGTAGATTTACTCCACGAAACATTCTAGGTCTGATTTTATCTGCAATATCGTACCGATGTACGAAAAATGTGACAATTTTAACCCATCCTGTTTTCCTCAAAACAATGGCCCGAGGTCCCCGTATCCACTGGATTGCCGTACGTGGCTAAGCCCAGCTACAGGGCATACGGAAGACCTCGGCTCTATGACGTGTAACAATGGCTCTTGGGAATCTACAGCCACGCAGCACGTAGAAAAAATACATTGTCCTTAAGATGAGACAGTATGTTTATATATGTCAGAAACGACATCCCTTGAGCTGATGGCGAGTGAGATATGACCGGAGAACGAATAAACAGATAAATAGATAATAGAATGTTGATATGAACGAACAGTTTGGGTTTACATAACAAATAGGTTAAGACAGATTAAAAGTAAAGGACCTTCTTCTGATCTGCGTGTGTCTGTGGATATTCCAAATGAAAAGGGTATTTCTTTAAAGCATCACTGTATGCCATTCAGATATCGCTGCATGTCTCATACAGTACCTCACAAGGAGACAGTTAGACATAAAGAAAACAGTTTTCAAAGCAAACACAAGTTGATGATGTAATAAGCAGCAAATTTGCTCAGGACCAAAACGATAAATTGTAGTTTACCGTGAAACCTTGTTTACTGGTAATGATGTAGTTTACATCAAACGGTCGAAGTTATTGGTATATTGGGTAATGTAGATGAATGACTTCATCTCATATTAAATAATCTTGATACGTCTTCAACTACACACAATGAAAATGGTATTGGATAAGGAATGCATACATTTATCAACAGACCTCTGTTTGACATGTACATGTGTGCACGCCATAAAATGCTTTATATTATATAATATCATTACGTTGTGTCTACCTCTTACTTTTTCTCGTGGCTTTAATTCCCGAATTCCACCGGATCATGATCGTGGTTTGTGGGCACCCTATGTGGCTCCTAGGTTTCACATTTACATGTACGACCTGCACTACCTTGGGCCAACTTTAGGCTGATATGCCGTAACACATGTACAACTGAAATATTGCTCGAAGCGGCGTTGAGCCATGTCATCCACTCTCTTCCCCATTACATGCAACTGAAGAATTCAAAACCATTTTTATGCGATTTACATATGTGTACATTTTATTAATACCTCTTTCCTTTTCCAGATGAACACAACCATGGGAAGCGTGGTCAACAACGGCGTGTACAACAACATGACTTTAAATGAGACTCGACTAAAAGATCTTGGATTAAACAGTAACCTAGACTTCGACGAAAGATTTTCGCCAGAGAAGGTGTTGGTGGACCAATATGTAACACCCGTTATATATGCAATAGGCTTCCCTGGAAACATGCTTTCATTCATAGTCTGGATTCAAAAGAGAATGCGTCATTCGTCTGGGTGCTATTTGGCGGCTCTTGCGCTGGATGATCTTATCTTTTTGTGTCTACATGTCATGTTCGAGTTGCAAACAGTATGGCGGGTACATGCTCTGGATGCCCCGGGAGTCTGCGAGATCTACCCTATCTTTTATATTGCTTGTCAGTACCTCTCCCCACTGCTGGTGCTGGGATTTACAGTGGAGAGGTACATATCCATTTGTCATCCATTTAAAAGGGAAAAATTCTGTACTACGAAAAGAGCCAAAATTGTGATAGCCTGCTTAACTGCATTGTCACTGTCTATGAGTGGTATTCAAGGTTACATCTACACCTACAACAGCAATGCATCAGACTGTGGCCCCAGAGATGAACTTGTTACAGCACAACCGATCAACTTTCTCATAGTTTGGAATATGAGTATCGAAATGTTTGTCTTCCTTCTTGTGCCTCTAAATGTTCTCTTTCTAAACATACTGGTGATCCGGGAACTCAGAAGACTGTCCAGAGTGGAAACCCAACAGCTTCACGGTCGCGGTCAGAAGACGTCTGCAACAACGGTGATGCTGCTAGCTGTGTCTTTCTATCAGATTATCACCACCCTTCCCGTCACAATCGTCTACGCTCTGTACTTCGAGTTCCCTTCAGGAAGCTTAGAGATCCCAGTGTCCCAGGTGCTACAAGATCCTCAGTGGAATCGGTTTTTCACATACTATTTGATTCAAACTATCATTAAGGAATACGGCACTACCCACTATGCATTTAATATATTCATATACATGATAACGGGGAAGCTCTTTAGAAAGGAAGTCACCAAGTTGCTGTGTATGTCAAAATTGTGTGCGTTCCAATTCAAAGTTCCCGTCACGGAATATTCAAGCCTTCGCAGTACTGCCCGCACATCACTGAGACTTCCCAATCTGTGGGTGTCTGTGAACGGGCACGTGGAGAAGGAAAAAGATGAAACTAAAGTCTGACTAAGGAATTGAAACTTACTGTGAAGAAGTCGATTCCGAATTGCCAGCCCTTTAAATCAAGGGCGCTGCAGTTTACTCTGCTTGTTGAAGTTGGTGAATTGAAGTGACTGAGAGCAGAAACTGGTGTCTGGTGTCTAGCCGAGTGCTAAAGAGGATTACAATAAGTGCAGTCTGAAAAGCTCAAACAGTGACCGACAGGAGAGGCCAGGGCAAAAGTTACCGTATCACGGGCGTGTTGCTTTGGACTGAGTATTCACATCATAGATTTTCCATCAATCGTCGTGATCGTACAATCCTACCGGAGGGGGCTAGATATTATCTGGACTGTAAATATGTCAGTATATGTGCTCTAACACTGTAAAAACCACATTGAGAATTGTTCAAGTACACTTGTTGAAGATGACAAATTATGTTGGTTGTGTTTCCGGTTAAATCCATGGAACGGACAATAATACGGTTACGTTTGGTGAAACTAGCCAAATGATATATATGAACCAGAAGGGGTCTTGATTTGTCTTTTTGGTTTTGTCATTGTTAAAGACTAACATTAAGTGCCGATATGTTATTGCATCTATTTTTAGGAACATACAAAGACGCATGAAATATATACCTACCCAAATGTGATCTAATCATTGCTTGTTTGTAGACATTATTAACAGTTATTGGAGTTTTCATTTTCTAACGTCCTTATTCATGACTCAAATATAAATCGTAATGCTATGAATGTGCTCTGTTTATGTAATATACGCTATACGTGCGACAAATTCCTCGTGGGGAGAATGTGATATGATTATGCGCTGTGATTTTTGTACCTAGAACTCGTTTTCACTGTGCATGTTCTTTCTAAGTAAAACAATTTAATGTTATCCAATCATTGTCTTAACTTACATCATAGAGAATTTTTGAATGAACACGATTGCCTGAAATTATGAATGAGTGAATTTGCATTGTCGCCGATATTGGCAAAGAATATTGCCTGATCAGTGAAGGAGAAACACATTACAGCCCCTATGTGGAATCGAACCCGGACACACGGATGTACCAATATAACGTCACACAGAACAGTTTCGCTGTGTGAAAGTGAAATTCACGTTATTCTGTGGACTATCACTCGAGGTTCACAATTTTAATATGCTATTTATTTATGTTTCAGTTTAGAGCAAAGCAAAGCCGTGGTTGCGCATTTAATTGCATCAATTGCCACCCTGTGTCGTGGTAAACCGTACATAAATGTAACTGTTTTTATCTGATTGAAACGTTTGTCAGAAGTCCCTGAAATGTATACCAATGATGTCTTATCAGAGTACCTGACTTGTAAGTCACGTCAGCCTGTTTTTCCGTCGTCCGTCGTAAACATCTTCTCCGAAACCCCTGCACCAGTGAAGCTAAACTTCACATGCTTGTTCCCAAAAATGATGACACATTATTTGTTGAAACGGGTCTGATCCGAATTTCAATATGGCTCCATGGTATCTAAAATGGTGGTAATTATTCCATCGTTATTGTTCAAAATGAATTGAAGTTTGGATTGAATGTATACCAACGGAAAAGAGTAATTGAGCTTCTCATAAAGTGGTATAAATGTTATGTTATTGCAAAGAACAAGATAATATTTGGTCATTCGTCTGATCAATGTTTTATCATATCAAATTCATTAGCAACACCCATGCCGGGTAACAGGACAAAGAGAGACACGCCCTAAAAGAAGGGTGGTGTAGCCATTCAATTAACAATAAGTGACCACTGTTTGCCTTTATACAGGCGATGCATTGAGAACACAAGATGATTAAACACAACAGTACGGGCCTGTAATTAATTGGTTTCAACCCAGGAACTGTCCGAGCTGTTAATGTGGCAGTCTAGCATTGATTCCGTTGATACACCAACCGAATATGGTTGTCTTATTAACGTAACGTCACACATGGACCATCGGCCGAGGTAAGTCACGACTGTTGCCCTGCTGTAGATAACATCTCCAAAGAGATGATATTGTGGTTCGATGAACATTAAAATTTCAAGCAACTTCGTTTTGCTCCATATTCCTGTTTGAAGCATACTCACGGCGTGGAGACGTTGATTTTCAACAAGCCGTGGCTTTACGTAAGCGTTACTTACGGTTTAACAAAACTGTGTATGAGAACAAACAATCATTGTGTGTTACTCACACCACGTGTGTGAGTATCATGCTCCCAACAAACACGCACACATCCAAATTGTGCACCGTGCATGAACATACACGTGCAAATTGTGAATCACGACGTTAAAATCGCGATGAATATGTATTGAAGGATGCAGTATTTATTTTCAGAATAAAACTATTTTTACTTAACTTAATATGAAGCAAGTTTACTTCTCTGGAAGTATACTATAGTGATACTCAATACGGTATTATAAAATAAAACTTATGCACGCTGAAAGTGCTCATATGCCCTAAAAAATACATTCTAGACTCTCTGGATACCTTCTTCACCGAGACCACGGAATCAGTGAAGCTGAAACTTCCCATGCTTCAATGTTCTCACATAAAGGTTTCAAAGAGGTTTGAATCCGAATTTCAATAAAGCCGCCATGGCCGCAATATTTGTAACCCTGCTTATTGCCAATACTCCGCCATTTTGTGTTCAAAGCGTAACTACATTCGGCGTGTCTTTAATCAGTAGTAGGATGCAACATACTTGCATATGATTTTACACAATTAGACTTATGACCATGATTTGACATTTGCCATCAGAACCTATTTTTAAATTCTCTAAAAATGCATTTTTGGCTCTCTTAAGCATCTTCTCCGCTGAAAATGTAGGAATGAGGAAGCTGTACTGTGACCTGTAGACGTCTTCTTGTGATGACATTATATATCGTTGTAATGAGGAGGATGTTTTTGTTATGTTTCGTTAAATTCAAACAAATATCAAAATACACTTATGCTTACATGCTATATTTGAACCATGTACACAACCAGCCAGTGGATTTCTGAAGGCATCCAATTTAAGTGACAAGGTATTCTCTGTAGATGACAATGGTGAAACGTGGCTACCGCGCTGCCATTACGTACCTCGTACACGTATGCGGACATGGTGTCAATTGTATATCATGATACTCCTTCATGATGCTCCGTCCTACATCGAAAATGAGATAAGAAAAAGCGCATGTAAGATGATCTATGATTAGAAAGACCTTTAGCTGCCACCTCAAGCGTACAATAGGCACCATACAGTAAGCATCTCTCATAAGAGAGTTGAGAACATTCTGAGCAATGAACCGGGCAATACAATGGCTCAGCACGCCGGCTGCTGATCCGAAATGCTCCAGGTTCGTCATCTCTAGTGTGAATTTACGTCTTTCTGGGATTCCAAAGGACTAACTCCTGAAAGATCATACCATTAATGTCCACTACTAATCTGCTCAAGCAAAAACGCGAGAATATCAAGGCTTGGAAACTCACTAAAGCACAATGTTCCCTGTGCATAAGACAGTTGTCGCCATGGCTGTAACGCCATCCTCCATATTCACCAGATTTTTGAACAGTCAGATATCCAACTCTTCCCAAACTTGAAGAAAGATCTGTCTGGCAAACATTATGCAAATGATGATGCCATCATTTCTGCAGTAGAGAACTTTTTCCACCACCAGCATCGTTGACAGACCTGTGTGGACCTTGGAAGGGATTATGTCGAAACATATTTAGCAACCAACTCCATCACATCAGGCATTCATAGCCAACATAATTTCAGCCGCCCGCTGTACCCCCCTAAAAAACATTTTCAAAAACATAACATGCACAACAAACAGATTCAAAAGTCAGGTATACGTAAAACCACTGTTTGAAATTATTACTCTACTCGATCGCTAATGTTTATGTGGATTTGTTATTCTGAAATCACACTGCGAGTAAGTGTCGAGTTGCTACGTGTAATGTATCATTGGCTGAATGTACTGGTCGTTTTGTAGGTGCCAGGAGACACACTTACATTGTATGTATCTTTATCCACAACGTAATAGGATAAATCCAGTAAGATACTGATTTCTGTGTGACCATTATTCAATGTCCAGGACACGCGGGAATATGGAAAAGGAAGGGTGTTATTCAATTCATTGTCGTTCAAACGCAAGTCACGTTATATTTACGTCGGCCTCAATAATCAAATAGGAAAACAAATAAGTGTGGGAGAATGTTTGCAACAGGCACAGAAGTGGGGAATTTGGCGTCTTGGTGAAGAAGAAACGCACTTCGTGTACCTATCGGTGTTTCCTATTGCAGATATGCAAGTGTATTTATGAGGTCCGCCCAAATATGAGGAATCAATATGAGGATCGCTTTTTCTGGGTCATGATTCTGTTCTTGAATATAACTTGAGAAGTTTTCATATATTTTGTATTTGCATGGACAAGCTAATACATATAATCTTCAGATGACATCCTATATTTTATTTAAGTATTTACATTGAAAAGTATTCCTTTAAGAAATAATTTTTATGGTTTCGAAGTATGTTTAATCAACAATTGCTGAAGCGAACCACCAATCACAATTTAAGGTCTGCAGATTACTTCAATCATAATATCTGATGAGGGGTAGCTGAAACCCCTACACGTGTGTCCCTGTTTGAAATGCACAGCATTTAAATAGAATGTTCCCTTTCTGTCTATGCGCAGTGAAAGCTTTATGAGGCGTAAGACGTATTTCCTTCGCGATCAATTCCAATGAAGATATTTTTTCCATGGTCCAGTTGTTTAAGTATCGATAATGTCTGAGGACGCTTGGTAATGAGTGTCACGATTTTGCGTTTGTTTTCATATATCAAATAAAACACAGATAAAAGTGAAATACATTGCAGCCTAATCCTTGCAGCATTATGTTCGATCCATGTCTGAATTATTTCTGTATGAAATGGACTCCAGTCTGTCTACATCGATTCTTTTGCCTTGGTAAACCTAAAGGATAGCAGTGTGCAGAGACAATATGTCGTCACTTATTCCTATATAATTTGCAAATATTAACTTTCACATTATATCATGATTCAACAGACATGTCCCTTCCCATATTTAGCCCACCTGAACCAAAGATCATAGTGATCTTATAACACGGTCTGCTCGTCTGACTTTCGTCATCATCGGCGTCTATACATATCTTAAACCAAATGATCTTCATGAAACCTGATATACCTTTCCTCATGATGATGATGGTCCTAAATATTTTGAATAGATCTTAAACGGTTGTCAATACCCGCCAAGTCGAATTTCATCAAATACTCTGTCGACATTGTCGCCAAAAGAATTTTGTCGCTATTATTTGGACATTCTTTCTGTATCTTTCTGCACACACACACACACACACACACACACACACACACACACACACACACACACACACATATATATATATATATATATATATATATATATATATATATGTGGGTGTGGTTTTGTGTTACTGAGTGATCGTTTTTGTGTGCGTCTCTACGTCATCTTCGAGCTACACACAGTGTGGTGACCACAAGGCCTTGGCTGGATTATCTACCCTACCCTATGATTCTATTTTACAATAACTATGTTCATATGTTTGTTCCATAACTGGGAAAACTCTTTTGAACACAGTAACAATGATACTTTGTATATTAACATTGTATGCATTTCAGTTCAGTTCCGCTGTTTCTGAAGGCCAATAAGACTTCCTAGTCTGTCGATGTCTGTGAACGGTCACACGGAGAAGGAAAAAGATGAAACAAAGTCTGACAAATAAATTGAAACTTACTGTGAAGAAGTCGATTCCAAACTGCCAGCAACAGGACCCCTTTAACACAAGAGCACTGCAGTTTGTGCAAGTGAACTGACTGAGAGCACGAAGCGGTGTCTTGCGTCTTGCAGAGTA